TAAACACGCGGGATGCGAAATTCATGTGACTTGTTCTATATTAACTAAGAATCTAATCTAAGAACGCACTCTTAGTTGGCTGAATTTTAAAGACAGAATCACTTTCAATAAAGTGGTTCATACTTATTTTATTATTTGAGAAATATGTCATATTATTTACACCCACGACACATTTTCTTACAATATGAATAGAACATTAGTTGAAGTATGGGAACGCTCAGATTCTGGGTGCTACCTTCATAATTTTCTTTTTCTCTGATGGACCTGAAAGTATTTGCGGTTCTTCGGTTGTGAATGTAAGATCTTATCCACTCCATGGTTATGTGAGATTGCGATAAATATTGAGTGTTGTGCTTAATACGTTTTCATTTTTTTATCTATTTAGTGGTTACATTGCAGCCTTGGCTATTTTTCGCAACCCAATTTCCACGCCTATTTATCCCATACACCTTTATCTTACACGGCTTCTTGTTTTTACACGGCTTCATTTATTGCCATGTTCTGTGTTCTTCTCGGTTTTCTAATGTATCTTTTTTGATTGGGTATCCATTTACATTTTTTTGTGGAAGTTTATCTTATTTCAGTCTTCCCATATGTCCATACGATTTTTGTTGCTGAATTTCGATCTTCTTGTTCAAGGTTGTTTCACTTTCATTTAATTTTTTATTTCATCATTTCTTATTTTTCGAACATCTAAGTATACATCTTCGCCAGATCATTTTTGTTTTCTGAAGTTTGCCAGCCATAATTGTTGTTAGTTTCCAGATTTCTGCCCCATTGAATATTCTATTCTCTTTGAAGGAGCTATATATGCTTATGATTCATTTTATTGACAAAATATTCCTACGTGCAGTATTTCCTTTCCTTTCATTTTTTTCTAGAAAGAAACAAGTTAAGTTTATGTCGTTTACTTCTGTTAAAAATACTGTGATAGTTGAGTTGAAAAAATAAGTTACAATACATTGGTCATTAGGGACCGTCAGTTGTTCAATAACTGTGTTCTATTTCGTGAACTGAATAATGTACTCTCATATGTTCTATTAGCAATTATTTATGAATTCGTAGAATTCGATATAACTAAATACAATTAAAAATAAACAAAATAATTGTTTATGTATCAAGGCCAAAATGAAAAACATTTTGAGCAAGGTGTTTACCAACGAAGCAGAAGCGTCGAGGAGCCTAAGTTGGTGAAAGACTAGGTTCAAAAATTTTCAGTTTGACCGAGGTGAATTTTTTGTTCAATTGCCACTGCAAGTAGCCATTTATTAACTTACGGTAAAACGAGTACGAAATTTCTTTCTGCCGACGTAGTACATCCTACACATTGTAGCACCGTAGCCAATGTTTTCTTATTCATTAGTCATCAAGAACTGTCAGTTGTTCAATAATTGTGTTTTGCCTATTTCTCCACAACGTATATGAATCCTTTTCCAAAGTATTCGTAATCCGATTCAAATTTGTATTGGGAAATGTAAAAAAAAAACATGGTAATGGATGAAAGAAATGAATGTGCAAAAATAACTTTTTAACATTTATTTTTTTTCTTGTTCAGAAGAATAATTACGAAAGTTTCATTTCCAAAATTAAAACTGTACCTAATTGTTTTATTTTCTTAACTCGTCTAATATGTATTCATAAAACGTTTTGAAGGTTTGTAATATATAGACTTTTTACATAACCTTTTGACGAGGGTCCTGAAAGGCACCCCAAAAACCAAATCATTCCGTGAATTGTCAATATTGTAACTATTTTGAATAAATAACTGTATATTCTCAAATTCTCATAACCTTAATTTCAAGGTTAATATATACCTTGCATTTCAAGGTTTGAACTTTGCAAAGGAAATTCAACAAACCTTTTTAAAAGGAAAGTCGATGAAGAAATGTAGATAAAGATGATAGGAAAGAGGAATAATAATTTCATAAACATTCCAACACCTGCGACTATCTGGCAGACAACCTCTGCAGAATACAAAATTCGAACAAAGTATGGTAGAGAAATTCGAAAACTGTTATCACAGATTTCTGTTACAAGATGTTCAGGTCAATGTTCACTTTGTACTACATAACCATCTCTCTGCAGAAGCATTCCGAAACCGTCCTATTCTCACAAGTTGTTTATATCTCTGTGAAAACCCTACAGCTGAGATTACCATTTCAAGGGCGCAATCCAAAACGCCTTATTCCCACGAGATCTCCAATTTCCATCTGAAAAGGCTGCGGTCACTTTAATCGTCCCAAGTCGCGCAGGTTCTAACCGCGGCGAATGGACTTTAGGGGGCTTTCTTACGACCGGCAGGGAGCAGCACCATCTGCGGCGAGAACACCGTGGTAATCAACGCGGCCTCTATACACTCGAAACAATTCGCCTCGTCCTTTGCCCCCTCCCCTCCTCTCGCCGCGAATTTAAGTTGCGCTCGCTTCGGAAATTTCCGCGTGTAGCACGGGTCGCTTCCTCCGCTCAAACCACCCCTTGCAAACTCACCCCGCTGCGGAGGGGTGAGTTCGGGTTATGTCCCGCTCTCCCCGCGCCGAGCGCCGTCTAACGTGATGAATATTCAACGACTAGAGTAGTAATATAGTAAATCTAGACTTGGCGAGAACACACGGGGGCTTGCCAGTCGTTGTTGAGTCGAGTGGAGGACGAGAGCAGTTTCCGTTCTTGCTTCAAGTTGGTACAACTGTCCAGAGAGAATATTTGTGTATGTTCTCCGTTCAGACGTTATTGGATTTTTTGGCGTGATTGTTTTAATTCAATCGGAATGTGGGTTCTTTCGGAAATTTGAAATATTTGTTCAGACGTTTTCTTTGGTTTAGATTGTAGCCGGATAGATATTCCATGTTCGCTGATGTTTGCGTTCACTTTTTTGTACGTTAAATAAACGCGATGCGTATATCCTGAAAATAAAAGTTGATATTTTTACGAACAGTAATTTTTTGTAAATTCAAAATGGGATTTTTCTTTGCATTTTCACGTCAAATTGGTATATTTCCTCTCTTTTATATGACGAAGTTCTATTTGCATTGCATAAACGTTCATATTCGTCTTTTATTTGTAAAATTACTGTATTTTTAACCCTTATAGTCAATATTGTTCTTGAGTTTAGAGATAAAGAGGCAGCATTTCAAGCGATGGTGTTGCCAATGAAAATTGATATTTTTCTCTGTTACAAAAGTAATAGAGTTAATGTCAAGTGCGAATGAATGAACATTTACTAAAACTCTTAATACATGCTGTTTATAACTTCAAAATATTTTAAGAAGTGTGAATGATAAATATTAATATTTATTTTATAATGTTTTTGTAGGCTTATTGTGAATGAAACATCATTGAATATATAATTGATTTAAAGTAGAGATTATAATGAAGTATTGTGAAACGTGCTGCAGTTCTTGATTTTGACAGACATGCACTTCATAACCTCCTCATGAATTATAACTCAACGAATTAGAGGGCGAGGTTTGCTGAGGGTTAAATTTTTGTGGTAAGAACAACGACGTAGTTAAGGAAAATTTTAAATTTCGAACATTAAATATTTATAGATGTTTATTATAAACGTATTCTTAAAGCAATTTATTTTTGCGTAAAAAAAGAAGAGATGTGACTTTTCGTATTCAACAAATGTAGTTATAATAATGCAAACAAATCTTATCGAATACACGAAGATTGTTATAGCAATTATTTTGCAAAAAAAGAAGAGATGCGACATTTTCGTATTCAACAAATGTATTTAAAATAATGAAAAAAATATCGAACACACGAATGTTCTTACGCATAATATTGGAAGTGTGTGACCAGTTGCAAATGACTCGCCTTCCATCGGCGCTAGATTTCGTTCGACAGTCGGTTCTTGCTCTAGCGCCAACGATCTTCATCAGCTGATTATGAGCTCGCTTCCCGAACTCGGCCTCCCGCCAGGCTGAAGTAGCCCAACAAGTTCCCAACTTTAATGAACTATTCCAACAACTATCAAGCGATACACTTGGAGGAGGAGGAGGGTTTGAATGTAGGAGCCTCCTCTCGAAATAGAGCTAGTTGGCCGATGTATCAGATACGCGGAGTTTCTCTGCAAGTCGGTGAGCCGTCGCAAGAAGTATTCCTTGTGTGGAGCGGCCTAATCCCGGAGAGAGGCCGACTCGAGGGGTGGGGCAGAGGCCGGACGGGTCAGCAGCAGTAGGTCGATGGGCGGATGCGAACGAGCGAAAGGGAACCGAGAGGAAAACGCGCGAACAGGCGCGTGCTAACGCGGACAAATGAAGAGTCGGGTGGATCGACACATAGAAGGAAGGTTTTCTTTGGAACGTGTGGTTGAATTGGTGATTGAGAACGTGCAAGTGTAGAGAAATGGTGGCTAACGAGAATAAAAGCAGAATGGAGTATAGCAGACCGAAATATGGTGAATATATAGTGAGTGGCGATGAATGAGGGTGTGAATAGAACAAAAGGGTATATGAATGAGACGTAAAGGCGAGAAGAAGGGCTTTATGGAACATAGGATGACGTGATGGTTCGGGATGGGTGGAAGTACGTATTTATAGAATGTTGGATGAATTGCCATGTAGAATGTAGAAGAGAACGAATTAGAAAGAGAGTAATATAATAGTGGGCTAGATAGAGTGCGAAATAGTGATAAGGGACATAAAGTTGTGATGGAGTATGACGGGTTACGTTCGTTCAATGTCGGACGGAATGTTTGGAGGATGTCGGGCGGGAGATTGGACGCGCTAGATAGGGTGCGAAATAGTTATAAGGGAAATAAAGTTGTGATGGAGTATGTCGGGTTACGTTCGTTCAGTGCCGGACGGAATGCCTGGAGGATGTCGGGAAGGATGTGGAACGGGATGTCTGGCGGAGAGTGCAGGATATCAAGCTAGAGGTACGCCTCGTAAGCACGCTCTGCCATCTGAGGTGGAATGAAGCCGAGGTGACTGCTCGCGTGGCAGAAGGGCGTGGCTGCAGGCGCGCCACACGCCCATGGGGCGAAGGGAGCGGGAGAGATGTCGCGTCATACGGAGCCTGCTGCCAACGCCGCGGCGCGAGCGGCTGACGGGCCCGCTGCCCGGGGTGGGGCGGGCGCAGGCCAGGCAGGGAAGCGCGTGACGATGGGCGGGGCCTCGGTAGGAGATTTTTCCGGAGTGGCTTGAATTCCGGCTGGCTGCTCGTCCGGGATGGCCCGGCGAGTTGCGAGGGCTGCGAGGCCCGGCCACGCTTGATCAGTTGCCGGCGGCCGAGGCCGGGCTGCCGCTGGCGGACCCGCCGGGAGGAGGGGTGAGGGGGGGAGGAGGAGGGAGGGGTGGAAGAGGGGATGGGGAAGAGGATGAGGTCGAGAGCGTCGCGGGTGAAACGAAGGGTAGCGAACGGAAGAGCGACGGACGGGGAAGAGTTGAGGTTGGAAATTTTGCGGTCAAGACTGCGTGTCACTCTCACATTTCTGGAGAAATTTAAGATGTTACTTAAATATTACGCATTTTTACATTTTTATATTAAATTTTTTGCTCGATTCAAAATGTATTTTGTTCTCATTTTAATAATTTTGAAATTTCTAGTTTCGCATGTTTGTTTTGGCGGACTAGGTGGGGAAGGGAGTTGTGGAGAAGTAGGGGATGGGGAAGAGGAGGAAAGCCTACCGTGTGAAACGCAGACTAACAAATGGAAGAGCGAAGGGCAGAGAAGAGTTGAAGTTGGAAATTTTGCGGTAAAGCCACCTTCACATTTCTGGACACATATTGTAGTTGTAACTGAAATATTACAGATTTTTTAATTTGTATATTAATATTTTGTTTCAGTATACATTTTTATGATTTCCGTTTTATTTATTTGGAATTTTTTTATGATTGTTTTAGTGGATCAGCCGAGAAAGAGAGGGGAGGATGAGAAGGAGAACGAGATTGGAGAGAGGTTGAGAGCGTCGCAAGTGAAACCAAGGGTAGCCAATGGAAGATTGAAGCATTGGGAAGAATTGAGGTCAGACATTTTTTCACATGTTTATTTTTAGTTTTTGATTTAAAGGAATTTGTAGTAAACATCTACTTTTGAAACTTTTTTAGTATATTGCATTCGGAAGTAAATCATATTTTGGATGAAACAGATATTATTGGATGAGACTATGTTTTCCTGATCCAAATGGTTCCAAGAACTGACAACAAATGGATAATCATTAGTTATTTGTACTTTAATTTTTCTGCAATTCGTTTTGTGAAAAAATATTAAATTTCTATATATTTTTTCTAACTAAATTCGCATTCATTACTTATTACCAAATAACTTAAATTTAAATTATAGTGCTGAGGAGAGAATATAACATAATGACTGCACGTAAATTACTATAACTTCAATGTTCGAGAAAATTTTCAGTAAATAAAGTTGCAGATATGAAAAACATATTGTGGTTTCACAATCTATCAGAATAATTTTTACCTAAAAACTATTTCAGTATTTTCTGTTTGCTTGTTGTTATTTCTTTGAAATTCACTACGTATTATTTTCTAAGATTAACTTTTAAGTTAAAATGTGAGATTTTTTGCTATCCACTTTAATGTGTTTGTATTTACGAAATGTCATTTATTCGTACGAGTCACTTCTTGTGGCATAAACCATACGAACAAAGTTTAAAATATATTTTATTCTCCAAAACAGCAAGTCCTCAGGTTCCTCTGAAGACCTGTCTGTTATATTCTCGTAATCGTCAACTTTTGCATAACCATCTCGAATGAGTGATATAGATGACAAGAGGTAAAACAATAATGATATTTTTCTCACGCGTTATTCCCACTGGTTCCACGTACGTCAGTATCAAGTACAAAATTTACAATAATGCCCGAAGCATCAAGTCGTATTACAATGAAAATCTTCTACAGGACCAGCCACATGTTGTCCAGCGGCTGTAAAACGTTTGACGTGAGCCATCCGAGGCGGGCACTCGCGGCAAGAAACAACGAGATCAGTCAAGCGCGACGTCCGAGCGACAGAAATCGCCGTATTTAGTCAGCGCGCGTCTGTCTGCCCGCGGGAGCAGCCAGTCCGTCTGGCGACTCCCCGCTGCGATCCGTACAGTTGGCGAGGGCCCTGGGGGTCGACGACGAGCGAGAAAGGGCCACGGAATTCCGACGTTGCTCGCATACGCCTCCTGCAATTGCTTTTTACACCACCAGGGGAGGTAAGATGTTTTAGTTTACCGCTCGATTCTGTGGTTGAAAAGCTATCCGAATTCTTTTCAATGGATTAAACTTTGAAGTCGTAGGCTTCCGCGACGCGAGTCATGTGCATGGTCTTGGCTGTCCGGGTGACGCCGCGTAAAATGCTATGTTGCCGACGTTTCGACCATTCTGTCGTGGTCTTGCTCAGGGCATACCAACCCTGAGGAAGACCACGAAAAAATGGTGGAAACGTCAGCAACATTGTCTTCGACATCACCCGGACAGCCAAGATCATGCACGGATTAAACTTTGTTATCTCGCACTTACTTTGTAAGAAGAGAAAGTTATGTAATCGTGAGTCGGAAAACGGCGAATTTTGAGCAGTAAAACTGTTATTGCCAGGTTCTGACAAGACAAGACTAAATAAGTTATATTTTAATACATAGAGTAAATTCTCTGTTAAACATGTTTTGTAGCCAGAATCAATGTTTTGTGGACGCTTGATATCGAGAAATTGATTGACGACAAAACGTCCGTCTATCCGTATGGATGTCTGTGGTGAACGGTAGCACCTAAACCGCACAGCCTATTTTCTCCAAAATTGATATTCCGTGATCGATTTGAATGATCTCGAGATTTTGAAAGATTCAAATGGATATTTTAATTTTTTAGTTATCTTTACATGACTCAAAAACATTTTAAAAATATTCTCAAAAAATCTCTAATTTTCGATTAAATTTTGTTCTCAGATAGTGTAAAGGGCACTTAAGGGAATGGGGTAGGTTAACAAATTTACTTTACTTGACTGTTGTATTGAAGGTGATCACTTATGTGGCATCGTTTTGTAATAAAGAATCAAGAAATAGCTTTAATAAGTTAAATTATCTTCTTGAATAAAACAAATTTGTTAAATTGATTAGTCAACCATTGCGGTCCTTCTTGTTGAGTCTTCAGTTAATATAACTTGAAATGCACCATCCATTAAGTTTGTTGACACAATTTGCACCGCCCCAGATATGTGCTTGTAATTCATTCAGAAATTATGTTCTGGCAAGTAAAATGGTAGCCAGTTTCTGCAAGTGGATTTCCTTCTTCCATGGCTGTACATGATTAATGAAATATTGAGTTGCATAGGTGGTTATTAACCAAATGCAAATGTTGACAATATGCCGCGACCTCTGCATTTCTACATTCCTCCAAATAGTTTCAATGTGAAAAAATACTATCTCTTCAAATCATAAAACACCTCGTTCTTTAGTAGAATTAAACAGAAATTACTCTTGTCGCCACTTCTCTCCTCAAATTTGGTTGAAACTTCTTATCTGCTTGTAAGCGAAGCACATGAAATCCAGAGTTTAGTGAAAATTTTATTCATTTCTTAGAACAATAATGAGAGATGAACTTAATGAATTTCACATAATAAATATATTTTTGAATAAATATGGCAGTATTGAATCGTATGTGACATGGATTTATGTTTAACAAAATTCATAACTCCAAAAATAAAATAACACAAAACATTAAAATATTAACTAAACGTATTTCACGTGTTATTAGATGATTCTTCTCACTCTACTAAACTTCGTTATATTTTCAGAATTCTCATTCATTTGTCTCCAGTACTGTCTGTTCCTCGGTTGATTCAGTTTCACCACGAGTATTTGGGCGAAATTTATTTCCACACTTCCCAAAATTATACGAGCCGATACAAACTTAATAATTTATTTAAAAATGAATTTATTATTTATTAATAATAAAAATCTTTATTAATTTATTATTAGTGAATCGTTATGTTTCAGTTATTAATTTATTAATGAAATTTATTTTATAAATTAAAGCTCATATTCAATTAAAGATGCGTTTGTGAATCAAAACTGAACCATCCATTGCCCGCCGCTCATCACCCACTAACCATCGCCCACCACCCATCAACCACCATTTCATCACTCACCACTCATCACCCATCACCCACCACCCATCATATGCAGCATATCGGCCGACACCCATTACAAAATTTGAACTGTGAAAGATCACAGTTTTCCGTATTGATGTATTTTATTACGGCCAGTATCACCTCCAGCCCGATCGCTACTGCCATTATTACCACCGACCAACCACCGACCACCATACCACCACCCACCAATCATCCACCACCCACCACAGCACCACACCACCACCACCACACACCACCACCACTACTCAACAGAACCTCCCCTGCCACCACCACCCTTCCTCCCCACCACCACCAATACCACCACCACCAGCCATCACACCAACCACCACCACCACCTTCCACTCCGTGAATCCGTACCTTCTTCCACAGGCGGATCACCCTATCCATGCGCCGCCCCGCCGCACGCCATCCTCGCCGAAACGTCACGTCAGCTGCTGGCCGTTGTGCGCCTGCGCCGCCGAGACCAGAACCGGTTCCTGCGCGACAGCCCACATTCGGCGGTTTCATTGCACCGCCGCGAGGCTGTAGAGAGCTGCGTCGGTGGCCCAGGCGCCCGCGGGTCTGCGATGGAGTGAGTGTTTGGCGCGCCGTGCGAGGTGGGCGGGACGAGGCAGAAAGGCGAAAACAACGCGCTGCTATCTGGGCGAAGCTGCAGGCGATGGGCACGGGATGGCGGACGAGGGTGGATGCGGAGCCATGGGCGGAACGAGTTGATAGGGCGTACGGGTCATGGTGATCAATGGGAGTGCGGGTGGATTGATGGGTTGCGCTGAAACAAACGGTAGGGCGGGTGACGGGGGAGAGCGATGGGCCGGTAATGGTGTTCGCGTCAATGGGCGATGACGGCATCAATGGTTGGTGCCGAAGTTGCACGAGATGGGTGGTAGGTTCACGTGATGGGTGATAGTGTGTGATGGATGGTGATTGATGAAAAGTGTGGGTGAGGTGGGTGGAGAATGGGTGTAGGCGATGGCTAATGGGTGATGATCGGGGCAATGGATGTGAAATTAGGACGTGGGAGATGGGTGTCAGGCGCTGTGGGCAGGTAATGAGTAACGAGCGACGGCGAATGAGCGGCAAACAATGACAGCCAGTGGCGGGTAAATGACAGGTGGGTAATGGGGCTTGAGCGATTGGTAGGGGAATGCAGGAGCAATGGTGCGGAAATATGCAGCAACGAGTTGCAGTTGAAATGGGTGCGCGGACAGTGGGCGGTGGGCAATGACAGCGTCATAGTCGGTGGGAATGATGCGAGAAATGGTCAGCTGCAATCGCAGCGGGAGATGGGTGGTGGACAATATACGGCAGCATGATAGGCGCGGGCGGCGGGCGTGGCGCTGTGCCGTCCAACCCGCGATAGACAGCCGCGCCTCACGTGTTGCACGCTGGATCAAACATCCACCGGCGACGGCGCGGGCGGTGGGCGACGACACGCTTGAATAATTTATCCCCGAGCCCCCGTCCTCCCGCTCCTCTACCCTGCCGCAGCGGCACGGCGAGACGCGGCGGAGGAGGGCGAGAGAGGTGGAGGAGGCGGCATACGTGTGGATCTGAAGCCCCTGCGACGATATGAAACGAATGTCAACGACCCAAACGAGTGCAATGGACGAGCATTGAGAATTGTTGGGAAAAATGTTTCGTACTAGACCATCGTCCCAATTTCAACTTTATATTATTATATTATTATTATTATTATTATATTATTATTATATATTACTGTTATTATTATAATTGTTGTTGTTGTTCAGATTCAGAAATTATTTCACTTCTTGTATTCTCTAATCTTTATGCATAAGAGATGCGACAAAATATGAGAAAATGTCACTTTGGACAGAGAAAGGAAGCCTGAATGAATTACTATTAGAAGAGATAGAAAAGCGGCGAAACCCTAATGCGGAAATTATTGGCGTACTTAATGGATATTAATCT